GCCGAGGACAATAATTTGGCGTTCCTGTGGACCGGCAGGAGCCTCTTCACGCTCAAGCTTGAGCCATTGCAGTGCGAGAAACTTTTCGACACCAACAATTGGCGTCGTCATTATCCATTTGAAATTGTCTATGCTGCAGGTAATAGCATGCCTTTGAACTGCTTGTATAATAGAACCAAGTTTCGTTTTGATAATTGGTCTATGGAATGCCTTTCGCATCCTTTCATGTTAAGCTAGCAATTTTAAGTAGTGTAATATCAGTTATTCTTCTGCTGCTTGATCATCTATTCAATACATACCAATTTTGTTCTGTAGTGTTCTCTCCCAATGGTTGTATGGTAACAAAACAAAGTTACTTCTTCCTAATTTGGTTGATGGAATGCCTTTCATATCCTGTCATGTGAAGCCAACAATTTTAATTAGTATCATATCAGTTATTGTTTTGCTACTTGATTTGATCTCTTCAGCACATACCAATTTTGTTCTGTAGTGTTATGTCTCAATGGTTGTGTGTTAGTGTTTATGTGATTTTTATGATCTACAAAAATAATAGTTTTTGATATCCAGTTCAGCTCATGACACCAGTTATGTTTCTGTGGCCAAGTTGAAAAATTCTCTTTATAATAATTGAACGAAATTTCATAGTTGGCCTCTTGACATATGCAAGAACTGTATAATGGTAGTGCTAGTGCATATAGATGCAGTGCAGTTTTTCTCAATCAATGAGGCAATGTGATGGCATCATTCATGTATTGTCGATAGATATGATGCCAAGTTGTTTCTAATATTCTCATTTTTCATTAACATTACCATTGGACAATGTGGTTCAAGTCGGAGCTAGGAAACATTACCATCAGTTTAGCTAGGAAGTTCTTTTTTAGAAGATGACAACGCGCCCTAAATCACTTGCTAGTAGCCTAAGTTGCGATTTTGTGGAGTGCCTGAAGCTTGAAGTTTTCCTTATGTCTATCTAATTATTATGATCTGGAAAACAAATTCCTTGCGGTGTCTGGTTTAGTTTAGTTTATGTCACAAGTTCTGCTTCTGTAGCAAAGATTGAAAATTCTTTGTATAATAATTGAACCAAATTCTATGTGTTGTTTGCAGTCTAAGTCAGTTTGGCCATAGGAGACTTTATACTGAACACATGAGCGAAGGTATAAGACTAGATTTTATCATTAAAACTGCTTTCATCAGGAATTGTGATTTTTTTTTATAGTAACATAGTATGACTGAAGCTTTCATCACGAAGATATAAGCTCAGTGTTGTTTTGATATCATGCAGTGTAAAAGAGGTGGAATATATTTTGTACCGAAGGAGGAGTATTAATTAATAAGATCCTACGGGATGGAATTAACTAAAGTCAATTTGTTTGTGATTACCTAGATCATGCATTTAAAAAAAAATATGCCTATGAGCTAGAAACCAGATGTTTCTGCTTTTCTACTCCATGATAAATAATATTCCAAATGATTTGGTAAGGTAGATGGTTCAGCTTTCGCCTCTACGGGAGGCATTTGAACCATTAGTCTCTTGGCCCTCTACCGTGAGAAGAAATTGAGAACGTGATAGCAGAGAAACTGAAAGTATTCTATAACACTACAAAGTCTCTTAGCCATTGCTGTTTTCCCCAACAATGCTGAGATGATTCAACTTTGGTGTTTTTGGTAGAATTTCCTCAAGGTGAAGCTATTTTTTACTGTTTGAATCATAAAAGGTTGTGAGGTTGCATAACTTGAAGCCAAATAGATAGTAGCTTACAGTTCATAGTAGCAGCCGCACAGCTACACAGCACAGATAACTTGAGCTCATATCATTGACTGGCTGACAGATGTTCCGGCATGGAAGCATAGACCAAAATAAAATAATGAATCGATAGCTTGAACCGAACAAGACAACCCGCAATTTTGCACCACCATAATCCAACTCATCAGTGAGATAGAAATATTTTTCCAAGGCTCCAATCTCTGTAAACTGCAGGTTAGAAAATAATGTAGCATGAGATTACCATCATACCATCCATGTTGCAAGTCCCTCTTGTGCTTATCAAGGGAAGTAGTACTCACCCATCTTTATGGTGTGGAATCATGAATGGTGATGGAACTGTTATTACTAGAGCTTGTCTCGGATACATTGAGACCACCCATTTCTTGTAGTAATTGTGAGATTAAAATAGAGTAACCAGTAAGCAGTTAAATTCAGCAAGGAACTAGGGAAACAAAGCACCAAATGAACCCATTTTCATGCCTTCCTCTAGTTTGGTCAACTGGTCTGTATCCTCTTCATCATTTATAGGAGCTGATTGCCGCGTCCAGTCATGAGTACAAATGAGTGCTTGGACCATGAAGGGTGTAAACCATCATATGAAATTTGGTGGTGTTTGCTTCAGTCTCCTCGGCAAGATATTTCTCAAGCTCAGACTTGGTAGGGCCGACCACACAGTTGTTCATTCTCATCCTCTTGGCAAAAGGCAAGAGGTTGGCCGCGGAGGTACTTATTACGGATGATGGTGAGCCACAGCCATCGGGTCAGGAGGGCAATGTTCATGCGACGGGATGATAGGATCCCAAGGCCGCCCTGGTCTTTGGGTTTGCAAATGTCGGGCCAGCTCACCATATGGTACTTCTGCTTGTCTCCCTCGCCAGCCAAAAAGAACCTCAACTGGTATTTGGCCACCTCCTGATGGAGGGTCTCATGGAGACTGTAGAAGCTCATGAGAAATCAGGGAAGGCTGGCAAGCGAAGAGTTGATTAGGATCACCCTGGCAGCTTTCGACAACCAGCGCCCCCTCCAGGGTTCAACCTTGTGCTGCATCCTAGTCACCGTCGGGCGGAGATCCGCAACGGTGAGCCTGGAGTCACTAATCGGCACCCCCAGGTAAGTCGTAGGGAAGGAGCCCAGGCAGCAGTTCAGCCGGTCCGCGATGTACAAGGCTTCGTCGGGGGTAGCCGAGGACCATCACTTCGCTCTCGTCGAAGTTGATGGTGAGCCCTGACATCTGTTGGAAGCAGAGGAGGAGGAACTTCAGGTTGATGATGTAGATGTCCTCATAGACCAAACGGCCGCCTCCGCGCTGCTGCACATCCTATGTGAATATACTGTCCTTTTGCTATGTTGGTTTACCGACTTGACTAAAGTTAGGCGCCCAGCCTTCGCCATCAAAGGCTAGAGTGATTGCGATTGCACTCGACGGCTTCCTGGTAGAAATGGGGATTGCGAGGTACCAGATACTGAAAGGGGCGAGCTCACACTCCATCACCGATGCACCCTCGAGTGCCATCGCGTCAGAACAACCTATGGCGGAGACCCAACAGTTGGTGAAGTTGGTGAGCAACCCTGACGCGTGCCTAATGAGCACTAACAAGATACGGGCAGGGAGATCGCTTGGGTAAAAAGATTAACAGTGGCTGATTCAGTCCCTGAAACTTGCGCCCACGGAGTTTGTGCAGGTCGGTGAAGGCAGCCACGACTTCGGCCTTCACACTCTCCCAGTCTCCCCTGGCTCCTGTCAGACGGTTTTTCTCAGGACGGTCCAAGCTCTACGTGGCTTAGAAATCCTGCGACGGCCGTAGGAGCTCCTCGTACATTCCATTCTCCATGTCCATTCCTTGCTGAACCATGACTGGGGATTTTTCATCTTCAGTGTAACACAGGTTCAGGCTTTCTGCCAATCTGCCCTTCTCTTCTCACATTTAATCCTAACTTCAGTTTCCCCTTGCTGATTGTGCATTTCACGTTTCCAGTGTTTCATGGCTGCAGGCTTCCACAGCAGAGCAGGTTGATGAGGTTGGCCCGTCATTGTCAGCCGCACACGCAGAGCCTTGTTCGATGTTGGGTGTTTGAGTTCCACAAAGACTATCGACAGGGTTTAATTAAGGCGACTCGATCGATGGCTTGACTTTAGATGCACCATGCTTGCCGTTCCACATGCATCTGTAGCCAGCACATTTCGTTAACAAATGACCCAAGTATCCACTACACAGGACTAAAGACTAGTAGTAGTCAGTTTTATTAACTTGGCTCAACTTATCCTTCTTGTTCATGCCAGTATACGGACGAAAGAGACAACATAACTTTGTCATTACACTTACTATATCCCAGAAAACAGATGGAAGCTAGTGCATGTTAGCTGGGATTGTATGGACAAGGCATCCAAGGATGCTTGTATCTGGGCCAGCTTTGGGGAAAACAAAATTTTCTCTCTCCCCCGCCAATGAAATGACTCCAAAATTCGCTGTTATTATAAACAATATTTTGCTAGATCAATCAGTGGGTGAAGCCCCAGCTGCATATTTCATAGTGTAAGCACAACTCGTACATTATTAACAACTAATCTTGCTGCTCGGAACCAGGTCTTTCGGGTCAAGAGAGCTTAATATAATGCATCCATGTGTGAGCAACATGAGAGAGCGTTTGAACAGATCTAGATGCCAGGATGATTTGACAAATGCAACTTGCTGGTACCTCTCTCTCTCCCTCTCTTTCTTTCTCCACCTTGTGTAAAAATAACAACCAAAGCTTTTATCCTCGAAAGGGTAGTTTTCGAAATTGCTGATGGCACAGATTAATGGGTGAAATGATCTTTAACGTCGTACAACGGATGTGGCACAGGAAGCTTCTTCAGAAGTGTCCAAGAGAGACTAGATACTTGTAGTAATTAATGTGCAAGTGCGAATCCTGCAGGCGCATACCGAAGGTATAGTATATATCCAATGAAGGATCTTTTCCAAGAAGAGTTGACAAAAAAATATGCTCATTTCCAACCTAATGATGCTTGTGGTTTTACACTTGTTTTAGTTATGGCCTGCTGGTTAAGCGACATGTACACATTAGTAGTACTATAAGCATAACTACCCTTTAGAAAAGTAGTATAAGCATAAGTTTTATATTGGGTATTAACAAATGATCCCTAGTGCCCGGCGTGAGATCTGAATCAGAGTCTCCATTTTAACTCAGGCAACATCTCAGATCTTCCACCGTTGTTCCCTGCTGCTTTCCAATGGTCGAGCTCGAGCCAAAGGTCAAGGGAATACTTGTGAGTAGTGTATTCATAAGAAGCTGTGGCGCGAGGTCTGAAGCAGCTAGCAGAGTCCTCGTTTTACTTTCGCGCCTCTCTTTATATCTCCCTTCCTCCTGCACATCGCTCCACCTCCACGCACACTACTATCTTTGGCTTTGGCTCCAGCTCCACCTCCTTCCTCCTGCTGAGTGCTATTTTTCTCCGCGCACAGCCCACATCAACCCGCTACGCCTTGGGTCACCTCGGCGCCTTGGAGGCAGGGGGAGTTCACAGAGGTACGTACACCCTTCTTCCAGCTATAGTAATCCTCTTCTCTGAATCATCCATCTGGAATCAGCACTGCTGCTCTGTCTTCTTCTTTTTCCAATCATCGATCTGGAATCAGCATACAGCCAACCTTCTTGTTTTTGCAAATGGTTTTTCAGCCCCAGGATGGACTCCGCCATTGGCGCGGCCAAGTGGGTGCTGGGCAAGGCGCTGGCCCCCGTCACGGATGGCTTGCTGGAGTCTTGGGCGGCTAGTGCCCAGCTTGACCGCAACATCAACGCCCTCAAGATGGAGCTGCTGTATGCGCACGGGATGCTCGAGAACGCGCAGGGCAGGGGAATCCATGGCGTCGCGCTCAAGGAGCTCCTGCGCCAGCTGGAGCAGCTGGCGTACGGGGCTGATGATGTGCTGGATGAGCTGGAGTACTTCCGCATCCAGGACGCCCTTAAAGGGACCTTCCATGCCGCCAACGTCAACGCCGTAGGTTCCGTCCAAGGCCTCCGCATCAATGTTGAGCACACGGCGAGACATGTCGCCAGCAAACTCAAGTGCCTCCCGTGCTTCGGTGCTGTTAGCCGTGGTGGTGACCAAGAAAATGATGGCTCTCGCCTACACCTGTGTGTCAGGCGGGGCATCAGCTCCTCGCCACCGACGCCCGCCAGCAAGGGGGTTGTCAAGAAGGTTGATGGCAGATGCATGCCCAAGGTCATCTCAAGTGCTCGCAACACTGCCCACACTTTCGGTAAACACTTTCCTTGCTACTCTCCCATATCTGTCCACGGTGATGATGCTCTAGAAACACCAGAAGTGATGTTTGATAGGGTACAAATGTCTACAACAATGATGGACATGGTAGTGCAGCTGAAGGAAGTATGTGCTAAGGTCTCCATAATTCTTAATCTAGATTTGTTCGGCTCCAGCCGCAGCCATACCCAAGAAATTGCTATAAACAGATCCAAAACCACATCAGAGATTACAGAACCTAAGTTATATGGGAGGGATGACCAGAAAAAGAAAATTATAGAGGGCATTGTTAGTGGCGACTACTGTCCCGATCAACTTAACGTTCTTCCATTTTTTGGACCGGGGGGTATTGGAAAAACAACTTTTACACAACACATATGCCAAGAAGTGAATAGCCATTTCCAAGCTTCAATTTGGATATGTGTCTCTCTTGACTTCAGTGCAGATAGATTGGCACAAGAGATAGTCAACAAAATCGGTGGTGAGGAGGGGAAGACTAGTGCTGAAGAACTTATCCCACAAAGATTAAAAGCTAAGAGATTCTTACTTGTGTTGGATGATGTGTGGACATATCGAGAGGATGAGTGGGATAAACTAATAGCAATTTTAAGGAAGGTAGAGTCCAAGGGTAATTTGATTATAGTCACAACTCGAATACCAAAGGTAGCACAGATGGTTAGGACAACCAATTGTGAACTAAAATTGGAAAGACTAGATGATGCAAGTACCATGCGTTTCTTCAAAGCATGTGTATTTGGTAACAAGCAACAACCATGGAAAGAACATCCTGAATTATCTGAAACTGGTCACGAAGTAGTGCGCCATTTGAAAGGTTCCCCCCTTGCAACTAAAACCGTGGGTAGATTACTTAGAAACCAACTTACTTTGGAGCATTGGAGAAAAGTTCTACAAAGCAAAGAATGGGAACTACAAACCGGTGAGAATGACATCATGCCAGCCCTCAAACTTAGCTATGATTATCTTCCTTTCCATCTAAAACAATTGTTTGTATATTGTGCTTTGTTTCCTGAAGATTATGAATTTGATAGCAAGGAGTTAGTTCAACTGTGGATAGGACTAGGTATTTTGTATCCTTGTGATCAGAATAGAAGGATTGAAGATGTTGGACTAGACCATCTGCGTGAGTTGGTCAATTATGGATTTTTCAAGAAAGACAAAAAAAAAAAAGATGGTCGTTATTTTTATGTTATCCATGATCTATTTCATGAATTGGCCACCAAGGTTTCGTCATATGAATGTGTTAGTATATGTAGTTCTAATGTCAGGTCCGTACACATCTCCCCATCTGTACGTCATTTATCCATAATTGTAAATTTTAAAGATGTCAATGATAGGATGACTTTAGACGAGTATAAGAAGGATTTGAAAGCATTAAGTAAAAGATTAAAAGTTGAAAACCTACGTACTCTGATGCTGTTTGGACGATACCATGGAAGCTTCGCCAAGACCTTTGGTGATCTGTTTAGAAAAGCTAAATCCCTTCGCACTATTTTTCTGTCTGGAGCATCATACCCTACGGAGAATATTCTACATAACTTTTCAGAAACTATCCATCTTCGTTACCTAAGGATCGAGCCAAGAGATTGGAGATGCAACATCGAATTACCAAGTACGTTGTTCAGATTTTATCATTTAGAGATAATAAATATAGAAAAATGGAATGGTCCTGTTTCAATAAGACAAATCACTAGCCTTGTAAAGTTGCGCCATTTTCTTGTGCCAGAAAATATGCCTCAAGTTCATTCTGACATATCTGAGGTGGGAAAACTTAAATTGCTCTCACAATTAAGAAGATTTGAAGTTGGAAAAGAAATTAATGGTTTCGAACTAAGTCAGCTAGAGCAATTAACAGAGCTTGGAGGGTCACTTAGCATTTATAACCTTGAAAAGGTGAAAGAAAAAGGGGCACAGGGAAAGGAAATAAGACCAATACACAGAAACTACTTAAGTGAACTAACATTAGAATGGGGTGTGAACCGATCTAACAAGTTTCCCACAAGAGAAGAAAATGTTCTTGAGAACCTTATACCACATAGTGAGCTTCGAGATCTGTGCATTAGAGGGCACGGAGGCACTAGTTGCCCAACATGGCTAGGTGAGAACATCTTTGTCAAAAATTTGGAATCCCTCCACTTGGATGATGTGTCTTGGAAAACTTTTCCACCATTAGGAGAGTTCTGGTCGGTTGATAAGCCCCGTGATGAGTGCAAAAGTTGCAGCATCTCAAGCCCAAGCTTTCAAAACAATATTCATGAAAAAAAAGGCTTTAATAACTTGAAAAGGCTAGTGTTTGTTAATATACCAAAACTGACAAAGTGGGCTGGAAATCAAACTTGTGGGCTCTTCTCCCGCCTGGAAGTACTCATTATTGAAGACTGCCCTGAACTTATAGAGTTGCCGTTTTCATGTTCTGCTTGCTCTCAACCAGAGCAAGAAGGTGGGAACATGACTTGCTTCCCTAAACTACGGGAGCTCAAGATTGTAAGATGCCCAAACCTGAGGACAATGCCTCCTATCCCTTGGACCCATGATCCATGCTCCATTGAGATAGCACAAACAGGCACAAAATTTGTGAACCTCACTTACGCGGAAAGAAAATATGGAAAACCAGGATTATGTTTGGAAATTTGGGCTGCGGATGGTACAGATAGCTTGTTTTGGAGTGAGTTTGATTTCTTTAATTTGAGTCATCTAAAAGAGTTGACTATAACCAATTGCCCTCCTTTGCCGTTGGATAAAATCCAAATGCTAACATCTCTGCAGCACCTCAATATAAGGGGTTGTTCAAGTATTGTCATGTCGCCAATCAGAGGCGAGAGCCATGTCCTGTACCAGGTTCCAGTTGAAGAACTCAGCATTTCTCAAAGTGGTGCTAGCGGGAAAGAACTGACTCAACTGCTCTGTCATTTCCCGAAGCTCACCGGCCTGCATATAGTTTTTTGCGAAAAGATAACAGAACTTGGTGTGTCGGAGCAGCAGAGTGGAGCACAGCAGCAACAGACCGCAGAAGGAGGACTGCTGCTCTTGCCTACCCAACTACAGAAGTTGATCCTCCAACATTGCCGTCAGCTGAGAATACTCCCCAATTCAGGGGGCGACAACAACGAGGCAGCAGGAGGTCTCCAGCGTCTACACTCCCTCCGTGAAGTGAGCTCAGAGAATTGCCCCAATTTGCTTTCCTCCTATTCAGGCTCCTCCTCTTGTTTCCCTTTCCCGGCATTCCTTCAAAAACTCAAACTGTCCAACCTGGAAGAACTCCATCTGGCCCTCACAAACCTGGCCAACCTGGATGAACTCCATCTTAGCGACATGAAGGACCTCACAAACCTAAGCATCCGGAGTTCCCCAAAACTACATACCCTGAACATACAAAACTCCTCCGGAGTTCTTTCGGTGTCCATCTGCAACCTCCTCTCTACATCCCTCACCACATTGGTCATTGAGGGCAGCAGAGAGGTGGAGCCCATCCCAGGAGAGGCCCTCCTGCTTCTCACCTCCCTCCAAGTTCTCGAATTTCTTTCCTGCGACAAATTGCAATCCCTCCCTGCAGGTCTACATACACTCTCCTACATTAACTACTTATGTATCTATGGATGCCCATCCCTCCAGTCGCTGCCCAAGGAAGGCCTCCCGAGATCTTTGCAAAGATTAAGAATCCTCGGATGTTCCATGAAATCACTGCCCAAGGACAGCCTCCCGAGTACTCTGAAGCAATTACTGATCTCCAGCTGTTCTGAGCTCGAATTACTTCCCACTTTTTCCGATGGCGCTTCTCTGCAGAAATTAGAGATCTGGAATTGTCCTGCCATCAAATCGGTGCCCAAGGATGCCCTCCCGAGTTCTCTGCAGGAATTAGTGATCAGGATGTGTCCTGGCATCAAATCCTTTCCCGAGGACAGGCTCCAAAAATTCCTGCGAGTACTAGATGTTAGTGATGACAATAGTGAGGAGCTTAAAAGGCAGTGCCGCAGGTTAACAGGGACAATTCCAATAATCAGAGCCTGACGAATCCTTCCAAGGTAACAAACACGTTCTTATCCTCTTCTCATTCTCTACTCACCAGTTCGCTTTGGTTTTGCTAACCTCGTTAGCTTCAAAATCATTCAGATTTTTTTGTTTGGTTCTATAGAACTACTGTCATTTCATATGAACTGAATAACCCACTTATTTTAATCTTCTGTGCAGGGCTCTCTTTTTTTCTTCTTGATTGCTACATCATCAGTCTCGTCGAATTCTCTTTGTATACAAAAGTGTAGTCAGTTTTCAGGCTCTCATCAGTTTTTGCCAGTGCAAGCACCAAGACTTCAGTCTGTACCAGCCATCATGTACACACGTAATCATCCCATAAGTCCAATATTCTTTAACTGTATCTTGTCCCTAACTAACGTTGCTTTTTCCTGATCCCACACACATCAAACCATTTTATTTTCTTCGTTTTACCTCATTACAGCATAGTCTTAACTGCTTTCTGTTTCCATCTACTATGCAGGATTTTGTCCTCTTTTGCGGTGTAGCAAGTTTAAGGGACAATTCCAGTAAATCAAACACTGGCGGAGATATGTGTAACTCAGCAAGGGCTGCGACGGGTTGACAAATTTTACACCCACCCACCCCCCACACAATCAACCTTCTGTACCTCCGCCAATGAAGTGAAATCTGACCAATCCAGAGGTAAACAAGACATTTCTTTGTTCACTAGTACTCATTCCTAGTACCTACACATGAATTCCACACAACGAGTTTTCTGAATAACCCACTTGTTTTAATACCCTGTGCAGAGCTCTATCTAGGAGTTGTACAGTTTTGAGCCCTTCAAGGGATCACTCTGTCCATCCATGCACACTTCTCACATGAGGGTCTTGTGGCATCCTCTGCCTGTACATAAATCTGGTCAGTATGTACATTTTTGGGGGGTCTGGTTTGCCTCATACAGCATAATCTGAACAATGTTCTGTTTCCATATATTGTGCAGGACTCTATCCTGGAATTATACATTTTTGTATACTTGTAGTATTCAGTCCAACACTTATAGGATTCCTACAAGTGTTATGATCTGGTAAGTGCATTCATGTGAAATGAGACTTTAAACAATAGGAACATTTTATATTTGTCAGAAGCAAATAATTCCTTAACCAAGCTAGGGGAAAGCCTGTATATTCTCTTAATCAAAGGCAGTGTCGAGCTCTGTTATTTATCTCCATACTAATGTCTGACTTTCTTTTGAACCAGATGTAGGATCTCTACAAGTTTCGCTACAAGGAAATGGATCATAATTACTACAGCAACACGAAGTCTCACAAATTCATCATGTGACATTTTGAAGTTCTGCTCAATCTCATAAAAAAATTCTGAAGTTTTCTCACTATAGGAAAGGTTCTGGGAACCACCAGCAGTAAGTACCTGCTTCTGCAAAGAAACAAATGTCCATTGTTGTCCATGTAATACTTGTGCAATTTTGAACAGCCAACCCTAAATTAGGATGTCACTTGTCCAGATGGTTTATATGCTGCAAAGCTATTTACGTGCAAACTATCCTCACTTATTAATGGGTGATGCATTGTAAGTGCCTTACTCTGGCTGATCGATCCGAATATGTACAATCAGATGCTAATGTTACGATGTTACTCTGGTCTTTTCAGATCAATCTCGGTAAAAGGTTGGTCCTGTGGGTTCAGGCAGACCTGGTTCTCCTGGTAAGCAAGTTGTCATGACATAGTTGAGTTCAGTCCAGCTGAAGAGATGCTATCCTGGAGGATCTCAAGCTGCATCTTCCATTCTGTCCATAATCTGGTTAGTACGTGCATAATCACACTGTACTTAATGGTTTTATGCATGTTAATCGACACCCTGACTTTTTCAGCAGTATGTTCATCGACACCCTGATGTTTTCTTGTTTGTATATATCCCCAGTTAACCTTGCTTTTATCTGATTCCACACATGAAAAACATTTTTGAGGTTTATCTTGCCTCATTGCTACTTCAACTGAACAGTTCTCTGTTTCCATTCACTGCAGGGCTCTCTATATAGGAGTTGTACATTTTTCTACCCTTTTAAGACTCGGTCCATCCATGCATGATGCATAGTTCTCACATGACGGTCTTGTGTTATCTTCTTCAGGCACATAAATCTGGTAAATACATTTGATCTTTATATTTAAACTCTTACTCAGTTTGTTCCCAACCATTTGATCTTTCAGTAAGAAATCCAATTAGCCTCATGACATATCAGATATTCAGATATAGGCACTGAAACGAATTATCCAGTTTTCCTTTTTATTTCTTTCTCATAAACTACTTTTCCTACATCATTATCCAGTTTCTTCTTCTTTTTTTTTGTTCCTGAAAGAAATTTAAAAAACTCACAATTCTATCTTCTGTGCAGGTGTTCTTATCTTCGCTTTGCTAGGCTTCAAATACATGCATTTAAAGCTTCATGGTCACTCATAAAGACATGGTGGTGTATTTGCTAGTTCAGGACTAAATGTTCTATCGTAGATGATTTTCGAGTTCCCTACGCTTCCACAACCTTTTCATATAGTTTACATTTTTCAGGTTTGCATTTCATCGTGACAAGATGTTCTCCAAGCCGATCATCCCTTTATCTTATATTGCTAGCCTCATCGGTACTTGGCATTGCATTTCCTACATTGGGATCTAGCAATACTCCGCCGGCACATCGATCCCAACCCCTTGTGGAATTTCTCACTAAAAAAAGAGTGAGTTGTGAGAGGTAAGAAACCAAGGTTGATAAAAAAGTTGAATCAACCGTGAGAGAGAAAAAGGCAAGAAAAATAGGAAAAAAAA